CTCACAAACCGTCGCTGTCAGTCCTTCGTGATAACTTGGCACGACACATACAGAACAGAAGCTTATGTCACAGCAGTCGAGAACACATGGATATACAACAAGACTGTCGAACCTACTTTCCACTAAGATGTTCAGTACGCTTCGTACCTAAGCGTACTGAACATCTTAGTGGATAGTAGGTTCGTACCTAAGCGTACTGAAAATACGATAATATGGTCAATGAACTTAAGAAACAAGAAAGAGACCGTATGAAATATAGAAAAGCTACCGGAGGTGGGCCAGCCAGAAAGACTCAGGCTCTCTTAGAAGCCGAAACTGAGTGCTTGTCAAATCTACCACTAGAGCAAATAACTGGAATCGAAGGAGGACATGAGAGCGTCTCTTATAAGTTCCTACGCGACACTCTCCCCACTACACTAATGTCCCAGATATTAGAGATATATCAATTTTCATATATCCTAGAACTTTGGAAGATGCCGGATGTGGCATGCATCACTCATCACCTCGTTACTGCTCGTTGGCTAAGCTTAAGATTGTAAACAGATTTTGCTCAGAAAACTTTAAATTTTCGCGAAAAGACAATTAATTTGATAAGAAGAGTATCAAACACCCTTACAAGTCACGTGACAGACGTTATCCGATCACGTGACAGCTTTTATATTGGTTAGCTAGTATCACATTATTCAATTACTAGTGTATGATTCAACTAACATTGCCTTAGTTATCCTATGTGTCCTCGCCTTTATCCAGAACCCTTTCTATACCCTACTGGCACACACTCCAGATCTTGCCTCGATGATCTCGCAGCTAACACTGGCTGCTCGGTTCAACAGAGTCCAGCATGAGAAACTGATCCATGGGGCACCGGCCTCTGCAGTGATGGAAGTGGAGCCTATAGAAATAGGAAAACATGGGTCATGGATGGTCCAACAGTAGGTGACCGTGGTCATACTACTCCTGACACTGATATGGTGAATGATGCAATATACGTTTCAGAGCACACTTCAACCGACTGAAAAGATGCCACTTACCTGCTGCCACATTGGACGCCTTAAACGATGCCATCGAGCGAGGATTCGAAAGAAGAGGAAGAATGAAAGGTCACAGCAGACGAACTATACACGGACTCCGGGGAGGAGAATTAAAAACAGCTTAACCCATTCTTTTTATACCCTTGTTAAATACTTTTCTGAGGATGATTTAAGTTGTTACATCTAACAAATCTCGATTCCTCTCGTGTCATCATGTTAAAAAATAGATATGTTATTTTATGTTATAAATAATATAATAGCCTCGGAAAAGAAGTACTAAATTGGGACCAGGGATCATGGTAAGGCTAAAACCTATGTAACATAACATGTTCCTGCTAAAGAGAAGAAATCTCGTGAGATGAGGCACATGAAGCAGCTGATAGGATCCTTCAAAACAGTGGTGAACTTTGGAGATCCTCAGAGACTTTTGTGTGCTTACCATCCACCACTCCAGATCGAAGGACTCGGGTAATGAGGAACTTAAGTGACTTACAGAATCAGAAGAGAAGAAAGATGTAATGCTGCTAAGAAGAGCTTCATCAGACTCCGCTGGACACGGCCAGTAATGTAATACATAAACTTTGTAAGGTAAATAATAAGTCTATCATTATATTATTATTATTACACATTATATACGTTGTTCACATAAGAAGCTTAATGAAAAACGATACAGTACTAAATTTCGTACTTAAACATACAATTAATGTATTTGTAACCAGGAGGAATTGCTAAAATATACATCTATTCCATCAAGAATTCAAGAATACTGTTTTATTTCAAACAGCATGTACGTATCGAGTGGCCATCTAGAAGACTGAGAAAAACAATAGCGTAATAATGGGAAATAGAACGAACACCGATGCAAGAAAGACAAAGAAGCTGAAGAAGATATCGTTGTTGTTTCGTGTGACTTGCAGAAAGTGTTGCTTCTACCCAGATTACCGGGATATAGGGAGTCAATCTTTACATCCCACCTCATTGCCTTCAACCTATCATTTGTTCCCCTAGGAAAGATAAAGAGTAAAAATAAGTCGGAAACATGGACAAGTGTTCGAATAAATCAGCAGCTGAGCCAGTGGCAGTTTGCTGGCAAGAAGGAATAAGAGTAAGAGATATTTACCCTCTGTAGCACACATTTTGCTATTGCACACATTTTCTTCTCACTCAGAAATGATTGTAGAAGGTGTAGTAACCTTCATTGGTAGTATATGTAAGGGGAGAGTTAAAATTGTTATAAAAAAGAAAGATAACGAGGAGACTGACTATCTTATATGGGCATCCATTGTTCCCGATGAGCTAAAGGTTTGTAGTTTGCCATACAAAAGGATCAAATTTTAACGGTTTTTTTTAATATTTCAGTTAAAACAGTTATAGTGTAAAGTAGGAGATTGAAAATCTGACATCTGCTCGTAAAATTACTATTAGTGACAAATTCACCATATGAAATTTTTGTGACACAAATTTTCAATTTGCAATTTATTTTTGTGTAATAGAAAATAATATCAAACAGGTCAATAGTAAGATAAACATGAAAACTCTTGAAAAGATTGTAAATGGTAAGTCATACACAAATGTTGTTGGGTTAAGCATCATCTCATCAGCAGTTACAGTACAACACTCAACCCCAGCAAAACACCGAAAAAGAGTGAGTCTATTTTTAAAGAAATCAATATATTTCTACAGTTTATACTTTTGAACATATAATTTGTGTAGAAAAGATGAGTATATCTGTTCTGGCTATCTGAAATTTCTAACAAGCTCTCAATGCAGGAATGCAAAACATGTAAAGATATGGTGGGACAACTGTGCTGAACTGTGGGCAGAATAAATGCTGGACTCTTTACCAGCCTAGAAACGATAACCATTAGGTACTTTGAAAAATGTCATAGTTTTACGTCAGCAGACCTTAAAAAGGTTGTCTTATTGTTGTCTTAATGTTGTCTTATTGTTACATCGGTGTACGTTCTAGTTGCCTTGTGCATGGGTTAACTAATCAACTATCTGGAACTGATATTCTACAAACAAATATCAAGCTTTAAATTATCGGGAAAGTTACTAGCATTTTATTGGGCATCCTGATTCCCAAAACAACCAAAAACTTCTCGATTCACCCTATTTCATCAGCAGTTTAATCGATCTTCAGAATGTCAACAAAAAACTGAAAACAGTAGACTTTCAAAGTCACGTGTCCTAAGCTACCCAAACAGTAGATTCGTCTTTAGAAAAGTCACAAACATCGAATTTTACGTTACCCGCCTTCCTAATGTCCCAATTGGGGCTGCAGCTGCACTATCTCAGCCGTTTAGGGACAATAAGGGCCTAACTTCCTAAATTATAAAATATATAATAGCTGCTCGACAGCAGCGGTGGTATGTGTTCTGTTAAAAAACGCAATGATTCAACATCAGATATCGTTGAGATAGTGGACAGTAAAAACCTTCGGTGGCACCCATGAAGGTGACGACGATTTTTTCCTAAATGGAATGACCTAGAAGCCCTTTAAGCTTTGGTTAAAGAATAAAGTATTTAGTGAGATGAGCAGGGGCAATAAAATAACAGCATAATAACGTTTAAAATACGGGGGGGGGGGGGGGGGGGATTGAATGATATAAAAAATATAATTATGTATAGAAATATTGATGGTTATCTCGGAGAGTTACTGTTATTTGACGTTAATCTTATTAAGGTCATTTATCAGAATAATAGTGGGGAAAACAATGGTCGAACTGAGAATAACGGATACTCCGCTAAAAAGCCAAGAGAAAAAAAGAAGATATACAATTATAATTAATCATAATAATTTCATTCATGATATATTAAAGTGGGTTATAAATTGAACACAGTGGTACTAATTACTTCTACAGAAGGAGCAACAGTATTTAACGAAGATGGACATGCTGTTGAACATTTCGCGCCCAATAGGCCAATAGGTCAACATTTATACCCTGGTCTCTAGAGAACCAAACAGTGCAGGTGGGTACTAGAATTTTGTTTAACCCTAGTACTAACGACAACACACTCACCCTAAACATGCACTACGACGCCAACTCTACTAACCTGTTTCGTTTTAACGAATCTGATGTACTTAATATTTCAACTATTCCAGAACTCAAAAACCCTAACGAAAGAATCAGACAAACGGAAAGTAAAGTTGACTTGCATTTTGAAGATGTAAAATCGACCTTATGGAATTTTTCAATTATTGACTATTATAATCGATAAGGGAGATAGATGCTACAACGGAGAGCATACAGTAAGATATTAATTATATTTTTATCATTACTTTTACCTTAACAGATATTACCGATATGTATGACTATTTGTATAGTCATCGTTTATAGGAACATCACCATTCTTATAAATGACGAACAATTTCAGTGAATCATTTTTGCAAACCGATATTATTCTTTTCCATAATCGAGCTTTAACCTTTAAAATGTCTTTGTTTGGAGAAACCAAAACGTGCAGTATTTACAAAACATGTAAATCTAATTCTTTACTAAGCAGCAACGGCCGAAACCTGAAAAAAATATTGTTCAATAATAATATTAATGATTTACTGAAACAATATCAAGCTTGGATTTTTCATTGCGTCCAATTAAAACTAAGAGATTAATCCGAATTAAGAGATTTTAAAAGTAATAGTACTCACGATAAAAGGATGTTGCCAATATAGAGCAACTCCCAGAACGTTTGGCAAGTAATATATAGGTTTTCATCTTTAGATAATCTTTCATATTAGAGGTCTGGACCAGGGGATTTTCTTTCGAGACTAGAGTTTCCATTTTTTATGTTGATAAACTGAAGAAGTCAATTATTTAGTTACTTACAAACTGATATCAACGAACTAAGATCCTAACTAATTCAACTATGTTAATCATAAATAATTACTAATTATAAATTGTTGAAAAGAATAACATTACATAATGATATGTTATAATTAAGGTGTAATGATATGTTATTAGTCACCTTGTAACACAACGAGCAGAGCTGTTTATCATTCTTCCACCATTTGAGTAGAGCAGGATCCAATCAATTTATTAATAATCTCTGTTATTTTATTATCTTTATTTCTTGTATCATCTGTATTATCTACATTATCTTTACTATTTTATTATTTCATGATCTTTATCATCTTTTTCATATTTTTCATCTTTATTATTTTTATCATCTCTATCATCTAGATCTGTATTGTCTTTATCTTTTGACATATTGAATATATACATATTTGTAACATTATTGAAAAGGAAGGAACATATATGAGGAAGAGACGGAAGTCACTAAGATGAAAGAGATGACGAAACCTAGATCGCGGAAGACAATGCTTGATGTTCAAGGAGGCTGTCGGCGTGCAGCAAATGAAAAGGAGGAAACGATCATCGCCACTAAATTTCGCCATTCAACAGGAATTAGATGAGCTTCTGGCAGACCTACCAGCTCCCGAACCCAGTCCCAAACCTTTTAGCTCTAAGACAGAATATGTCTAATATTACATTATTCTATAGATTATAGTATGTGGTAAAAACGGCCAGAGTGTGTGTGATGATATTATTTGCCGCTGACCTACAGGGTATAGGGGATACCCTCATGGACCCCACGTTGATAACTGGATCCACTAAACTAGACAGGCATTGTGATCTTTTTTGCAATGCAAATTTTGAAGAAGGTGCTATAAATAAACTGATTAGTGGTCAGTGACCACTGGTCACACATGCAACGACATCTGTCACCAAATGGGCTTGAAGGCGTGTGATGGGTGGAATAACATCAGGTCAAGTTAGTCTTGGAGTGTCACATTAAACTTATATTGGAAAAGAATACCCCATTCAAGACATGTTATCAGACAATCTGTGTGTGGCAGCGGGATGTTCTGACAGGATTTGCGGCGGGACCAGGTTATCATAACATTTTTAAATTTTGTATTCAATTCATTCATTCACGGTGATGAATTACCTTTATTATCTTAATCATCGAGTTATCTTTATCAAGTTAAATTAAGAATATCAGCGTTCACACAAGCAGAAGAGTGTGCAAAGAAGACTTTCAGTAGCCGGACAAGCTTTGCAACGTTACAGTGAGTTCGTGTTTTGTTCTAGCTCAGTGCAGTCAGCTGGAATACACGATGGAGTATTATTTTAATTACATTAACTTATTGGTATCTTCATATATATTACGTCCTTTCGCGTCAACAACCGATATAAAGGCCATCACATCGAGTTTCTATTTAATCATTATTGATCATTATTGAGTGTTAGGACCGGTATAAGACTATATAAGAATCTGAACTCAATGTACAAGGCTATACATGTTGAAGGATAAGGTTCCGATTATGACCGTTACCCACGTGGTACACCATATGGACGTGGATATATCTTTGGTTACACCAGGCCACATGACGAGAGAACCCCAGCGATAAAAAACACATAATAATTGCTGAGGAAATAGGAAATAACTGGATTACAGAACTGTGTACTAGCTTACGACGTAAACCCAGAGGTTCTTAACTCGATCAATCAAACGTGATCATGGATAGCATTTTATTTTTTAAGTGAAGTACCAAATACCAATTTTGTGTCATTTTTACGAAATATTTAAATTACCTACAGAGAACCGAAAATTGAAGACTCATCTGCAAAGCATGGAGCAAAGATTTAATATTTCAACAGTTAGCTAAATTTATGGAGAGAGAGCTAGAGAGTAGACTCAATATTTCACCTTCTTCTTTTTTGTCAGGCAGGACAAGAGTTTTATAACGTTACGGTCAGTTCGTGCTTAATTCAAGCTCAGTACAGCAGCTGGAATACACGATAGAGTATTATTATAGTTGTTTTTTATATAATCATGTGTATTTTTACACTTATTTGAAATCAAGAGGATAAAGGTTAGTATCAAGTTATTCTGCTTTCCTAGATTCCATTCAACTCATTGACTCCTTGAGGGAATGCAGTCAAAAATTCCTGTTAAAGAAGACTCTCCACTCACAGAAAACTATTCGCTTTTTTTTCTTCAATCGTTTTAAAACTCTTCGTCAGAAATATTTTTTTAGCGATTCTTTTCTTATTTCGTAATATTTATTAGTATTGAGTTTTGACTGACGCTGGAGCTGAAAAGGTTGGGATTATTTTATAAGGTCGTAATAATCAGCGGACAAGTAATTTCTTGGACCATTGTAAAACGAAAGTTAAAAGCAACAGTGAATACTGTTAAGCTAATAAGCTATTTTGTCAATATACAACTGTACTTAAAAAATCCCTCATTAATAAGTAACAATTAAAATGGAAATTGACAATTATTTCAAAACAATTACCGTCGGAGACTAGAAAATTTGATGATCAGTCAAAGTAATAAAGAGCTTCCACTCCGCTAGTCATAGAAGATAAGAAGGACGTTAGAAAGGAAAGAAATGGAGAGGAACAATGAAACAGGCTTCCTGAAAATGGGGCATTGTTATTGGTTGGTTGGTCTGGGTATTGTTATAATATGCTGATCATTGTTTTTAAACTTTACAAGTTGTTGCTTAAAAGACAATTAACCATAGTTTGATGTTGGTGTTATTCTCAACTTATACAATTGTATATCTTATACAAAACCTAAAATTCAGCGTTAGACACCAAAATCTGAAAGTTATACCTCACCTTAGTTTTTAACGAAGCCTGGTCTTCCGAAAAACAAGACAGGATCAAGAATTAACCAACAACATTGCGGTGGAATATATTCATCACGTGATGTACATACATCAGTTCATTTTTTATTTGCTGTCTCTTCTGGAGTAGGAGCACCTTTGACCTTTGTTGGAGACCATTTATAAGAAAACATCTCCAGCGTAATCTACATGGTAATAACAGCCACATTCCCACCAAGAACCCATTACAGAGTAAAGAGATGGAATACTACAGACGATAAGATATTTATCGCTGGCGTGTAACTGAAAAGAGTGTTATAAGTATTAGCTTTGTCGATCTGTCAGTTATTCACCTCTATTCAGAGGATTCATTGTGCTAGTTTACACTTACAGTGGTTTAGAGTGCACTCAAAACCCGAAGAAATGTGTAGGATAGCTAGCTAATTGCTAACAAATGGAAAATGCAAAACTATCATAATATGATATTGTAAATTATAGTAATACTCATACTTACAAAAAAATGCTTAGATTCCACGAAGCGAAGTAGACCGACTATGAGACCACTGGACCACATCAAAGGGAGGTGTTTGGGGTAGAGGTGTTCTCAACATACTACACGGGTTAACCTCACCTGTTAAATAATTTTTTTTATAATTTATGATATAATAGAATACAAGAAATACAAGAAATATTTTTGGAAAACGTCTGAATTTTTAGTTTGATATCACGTGATCCTTTAAAATACAGGGTATAAGCAGGACTCTGATTTCAGGGGTGTTATTTCCCCTACGGATTTAGATAGGCCTAATGGACTTTCTATCCCTTATTTGAATGCATACCAACCGTAACCCATAATTTTGAACCAGTACTGTTTGTAAAGAAACCATGTGATCCGACTGGGAATTTTTTTAATCAAAACCCCGGTTTACCGTACAATTTTCTTTTCCTCAAACGGTAAATCGTGGTTTACCGTTCTAAGTTCTTAAATAGGTGACAACAAAACGACCCAAAAGCTACGTGTCCGATCTCTACTTAAAGTCTAATTCTAACCGACATGTAGCCTGGACGTTACTGTCACCAAGACGTAAACCAACCTCGATCAATGATAACATTGGCCGAAGTTTGCTACATTTTGGAGACAATAACGACCCTTTCGCCTAATTAAATCTAAAGGGCTTAAAACTTACTGGTATTTTGATGTTAGGAGGTTGTCAAGTCGGTCCAAATCGCTTCATTTAAAATATAACTTCATATTCTTCGTGTAGGAGAGCCATTTTGCTAAAGGTAGTGATAAATTAGAATCGATTTTTTAAACTGGACAATATAACTTTCTACATCTCGTTTTCTGTGGACGAACTGCTACTTTTTGAATTATAGCTAAAATATTTTGATAATCACTAGTAATGACTGACGAGGTCGGAGTCAGGGACTGTCAGCAGGTGTCACGTTCGGTCGGTCATACTGATTAAAAGAGGCTAAACTTAATAAAAGCAGAGTTAAGATAAAAAACTAAACTAAGCTAGGGGAGACAAAGCATCGAATGGTAAAAGAAACAAAAAGAAGGTTCTTACGCTAGCATAATTATTAGCCACGCCAAGTCACTGTTTCTAAACACAAACCAGACATTACAAGAGAACTTACAAGTCACAATGACAAAGGTACTCCACAAAAGTAACACGTGTCTACGAACACATTTATCACGTGACAAATCCACCTGAACTTCTTCAACTCCTATTGGCTCCCTAAACTATTTATCCGGTAGCTCTAACTAGACACTTGACACTGGTTTCCGGGCTGAATATCTAGTCTGGGTACAAAACACAATACTGTGTGTACAATAGTGGTACGGTATTGGGTGTACAGTGTACAGTGTACAGTTGGACTCCAAAATTCAGAGAATGGCTGTTAAGTGGTGGCTTATGAAAGGAAATGGTTAATAGGTGACAGCTCACAAGCAATCAATGGATCATGTGACAAAGTGACAGCCTGTGTAACAGTTTAACAAGTAACACATCAGCAGTAAAAGTGTACACTGTACAGTGAGGTATGTGACGTGTCAAACTCAGAAATATCTCAGTTTTACTATTAGCTATCAGAGAGATTTAGTGGACCGGGAAATTCTGGTCACATGACTGAGAGAGAGAGAGAGTCGAGAGAATGACGAAATCATAAGAAGAGCAGATCTCATTATAACGGTAAGAAGATCATGTTATTTGAGCTGTAATAAACCCAGAGCAGAAGTCAGCACTCAAATAACACGTCACATAAGACACGTAGAAATACGATAGCACTTCAAATTAGAGAGCACCGCTCAACAGTGAACCACTCATTGCACGATCAACACGATTCACAATACATTTGAAAATGTATACTAACTAACCCACATTGAGTCTCTAATTTCACATTCAACAACCCTCACTATACAACTACCATTGTTCTAGAACACAACAATAGAACATTGTAAATATCAATAAACGCCTCTACGAGTCTACATTGGATACAAGGTAGCAAGTCCGCAGTGTGGCCACACGTAGTAACACGTAGTAGTTGCCATCTATACATTAACATACGTGGTTGTGTTATCTGCTCCGGTATCCTAGCAGTCGCCACCATTAGCGGTCCTGTTAGCGGTAATTTGTGGGGCACTTCAACAATTGAGCCCTGAAAGTTCCAGAAATTCTTCCGTGATTAGATTGGATTCCTTGAAATTCAGAGAATACAGTGAAATTTGTTCGCTGCTCATAGGATCTCACACCACACACGCGCTAATCTCTAGTTTGCTGACGTTGCTTTAGAGGAGGAGTATTGAGGCCGCGGCCGGATATAACGACCGTTTCCTCAACTTAATGACTGGCAACCTGGATTATTAATCATCATAGCTTACGTGTGCAGTTAGTTTCAGGGTGTTTTTGGGGGGCACCTGGTGGTTTTGTTACATTTGTTGGATTGTATTGTTCAGTTTTATAACTTATTTAATGATTTGATTATGAGGGTTAATTTGAAATTTGAGAGGGAGCTGTGTGTTCGGTTCAGGGGTTCAGGTTGTTGTTAAACGTGGAGTTTTACGTTATTTTAATTAGCTTATTTATCGTTAATGGGAGGTTTCATGTGTATGGAGAACACTGTGCCGTAACGAAAACTGCTGCATAGTGCACCATAAGTCCATAATGAGTTAATAATGAGAACAATGATAATTACAAAGTTAAACAATGGATCTAGAATATAAGAAGTTTTAGTAATAAGCTAGATCCATTGTCTCAAGTTTCGTAATTTAGTTAATTTAATAGAGCACTTTCTTGAAATACAGATATCATAAAACTACTTTTATGATGCTGCTCAATATTGATTCTATCCTTGTTTTAGTTTTCTTTAACATTTAAGTGATCTGCTTACAGTGACGTGGGATAGTTGACGTGGCATAGTTGAATAAAGCTAACGGTCTCAATTTATATTAAGTTGTTTTACTTCTTTTGTTAAACTCATCGGGTACGGTTGCCTTCTAAGTTTTATAACTTTAGTCTTTAACATCGTCCTTTAATGTTGTACACTAAAAAAGGACCCTACCAATTAAAACTACTATGGCAAATTTTGTATTAAGTCTGATTTTATTAACTAAGTTATTCTAGTAAAAGTTTATTTTTAAGTTTGTTCCTATTAACTGAGTTATTCCAGTAAGATGGCCTGGTGGCTCTGCACAGTGTTGCTTGTTGCTTTAGCAACTGCTGACTTGGACGTAGAACAAGAAGATAAGAAGGAGGAGAAAAAGACAGGAACAATTATTGGTATTGATCTCGGGACCACTTACTCATGGTGAGCTCTTAGAGTAGTTAAATATCTTTTTAAGTTTAGACAATTGTTCTAACATGGGTGGCAGATCTATTTTAAACCCTAAATGCATATTAATTAACTGTTAAAGTTGTTAAGATATTCTAAAGTACGTTTGAGGATGTAAATGTTAACTTGTACAGTGTTGGAGTGTTTAAAAACGGCCGAGTTGAGATCATAGCCAACGATCAGGGGAACAGGATTACTCCTTCTTACGTTGCTTTTACTGAAGATGGAGAAAGACTCATTGGTAACTATTACTTAATTCAGTTTCTACTTAATTACGGTTCTCCCATTCTTTGCAGTAATGAGTTACGAATGGTATTAAAGATTTCTCAGTATATGTTTTTAACTTTTTACCACTCACATTAAGGCGACGCTGCGAAGAACCAGTTGACATCCAACACGGAGAACACAGTATTTGATGCTAAGAGAATGATTGGAAGAAGCTGGGATGACACCAGCCTCCAAAAAGACATCAAGTTCTTTCCTTTCAAGACTATTTCTAAGGACGAAAAGCCCTATGTGCAAGTGGAGGTTAATGGGGAGGTAAGGTATTCACTACGTGTTTTCCGTCGTTTTTCTAGAAAAATACGATACCAAGTCCACCATTTTACGTATTTTCTATTTGCCGGGCCTCATTTGCTTGTTTAATTATTTTTATCTAAATTAAAGTAGAGTACCAAGGGATTAATATTTGAAACATTGCAGATGCGATCATTTGCCCCCGAAGAGATCTCAGCAATGGTGCTAACTAAAATGAAGGAAACAGCTGAGGCTTACCTTGGAACCAATGTTACAGAGGTTACTGATTTACCTTGTTTCTTTGAACATAATAAATATTTAACGCCAATCTGGCCATTTATGAGGATCTTTAATAAAAGAATACCCCGAATCTCGATCCATAATGATTTTAAAGATCTATAGAAAAAGTTAGAGACTAAAATTATATCATTGCTATTTGACTTATTTTGCAGAAGCTAAACACTAAATATATCATTAAACATTTTATATAAGGATCTCTATAACAGGCTGTAGTGACTGTTCCCGCCTATTTCAACGACGCACAAAGAAAAGCCACAAAGGATGCTGGAGTAATTGCAGGACTTGACATTAAGAGAATCATCAACGAGCCTACTGCAGCTGCTATTGCTTACGGACTGGACTCTAAAGTCAAAGTTAGTAAATTATTAAGAATATTTATTGTGGTCAAAGTATATATGGGCAATTTCGGGCAAATGGTAACCAGGATGAAAATGTAAAATTATTAGCAATTTGCTTTTCTTTGATTATATTCTGAAGCCAACCGTTTGCACTACCAGACATAAAAAACCGTTTGTAAATATCTTAATTTTCCTTTTTCCTATCGCATTTTGAAATTGCTGCAATTATTAGCAATTTTATAAGTTAAAACTGCCATTTCTTCACATAGATCGAAACTGGAGAATATAACTTCCTCACAAACCATATTTTCTTTTTCTATTAGCTACATCAGGTAACATTTAACGATTACCAACTTTTTGATACATGATTCATACCATTTCTGATTTATTCGCTCCCAAATATTTTTATTTTTTGAGTGAATTACTTGACAGCAATTACCAAAAAGTTTTTTTCTGTGCCAAATTTCCATTCCTTTTACCTTAAAACTGCCTTGTACTTCTAACTTTCATTGCAGGACATGATCAACTAGTTTTTAGAATGGATGGGCCTTCCAGTTTGTCAGTATAGGTGTCCAGTAATTCACATGTCAAGTAATTCACAAGTTTTGTCCTGTAATTCACATTGACTTGAAAGAATTATATAAAGCAATTTACATTTATGTAATGCAATAAGTGATGTCAATAAGTAATAATAAATTGAAACTGGTAAAAATAATCAAGTTTATATCAAACTCTGATAATTTAATTCCATTAAAATGGTAAATTTAGTTGTATTAAAAATTGTTAAAATACTTTTAAAACATGTAAAAATTGTGGTTACCTTTTTTTGTTCCAGGATATAATACCGATTACTATGCATGCTGATAAAAAGAAATGTATATCAAATTTTGATAATTTAACCCCATTAAAATGTTAGTTATTGCAATAAAAATTGTTAAAAATACTTTAAAAAATGTAAAAATTTTGGTTGCCGTTTTTGTTCCAGGATATGATACAGACTACTATACATGCTGATAAAAATAAAAAGTCGAGTATTCTGTCCCTCATAACATTACAATTCTAATGGACAGAAAACCCAACACAGTCATCAAACAAAACTCTTCCAGAAGCCTTGTATTCTGGGGTTGGCAGCTGTGCCAAAAAATTAGATCGTACTGCTCTCTCCTCATCAGGATATTTCTTGAACAGCCTTCCCTCCTGCCTACATGAGTTTTTACTGCTAGTGACTTTAAGGTAACTATTGATCACTACATCCTCGCCATCTTCTCCTACATTCTGACAAACATAGTTCATTTTTATCTTTCCAGCTGTATCCTCAAATTGCACTACATACCATCCTCTGTCTACGATAGACAAATCATCTCCTTCGTGGGAATCAGCCACAACTTCAGGAATAGGAGCTGAAATGGAAGCCTGATTTGCTGGTGGGGTTACTGGCAAGGTACACAGTGAGTAGTGTATAGGTTTCAATGGGCCTTCTCATGGAAGCTTCCAAGATTCAATAGTTCCTTCAAGGCCACACTTAGCCATGTGGACTGCTGATATCCCGGGTATGCTGATGGTGCCAACCCAAGGTTTCTCCAGTTCATCAAGGGAACATCAAGGGAACATTATTCATCAAGCAGTATGCAGATAAGCAACTAAAACAGCGAAATATTAATGAAAAAGCACACAGTGAATTACTGGACACAATAATGTGAATTACTTGACATGCACCATGCTGGTCATAGTGTATGCTAGCATTGAGTTTGCACTGAACCGACGTCCAACATATTATATCAGTCACCCTATTTGCTTGTAAATAATGCTAATGTGTTATGTTCAACAATTATGTTATGCCTAATTGACAAACCGAGGCATATTTAATGAAAATACCAAACAGTAATTGGCCAATTAACAAATTAGTAGAAATTGAAAAATCATGAATTATACTTCAATATCTCTTTATTAACTCAAAAGAACGTAAGTTACAAAGCAGGGTGCAAACAAGAACCGCTTAAAGCAGCAAAATCTGCACTGAAAAGGCACACAGTGAATTACTGGACACAGGAATGTGACTTACTTGACATGAATGATAACATGTAAATAACAATTAGAGTTTACATGGATAAACTTTTCAGTAAAGTAACCATACAGACTTGCAAACAATGATTTAGTGTTTATGTACACCGCTTATTACACATTCAGTGTACACACATGGGCACAAAACGTGATGTTTCTGCAGAATTATAAATAGCGTAAATTTTGCCCTGTGAATTACTTGACATTTTCAAACGCCCATAACTCATGAACTACAACTCATGAAAGGTTGCGGTCTTTTGCATCATCAAGCAAATGGTTCCACCTTGCATTGTAACACCTTTTCATGCTTGTATAATATTCAGATGGCCCTCTGGGACCATTAGAATGTAGAATTTCTATGCAAATGGTGAATTACTTGACGCGAAATTGCCCATATTGAATCAAGATAGTGGTGTACGCCGTACGGTTATGGAATATAAGCCTTGTCATGATAAACCTAAACAACTCAGGAAAAAACAGAGGAACAGTCAGTCCTAGTGTTCGACTTGGGAGGTGGTACCTTCGACGTGTCCCTCCTTATGATTGAGAATGGAGTATTCGAGGTTATTGCTACTAGTGGAGACACTCATCTCGGTAAGTGACTTGTAAGGAGAACAGAATTGAGTAGGGAAATCCACCTACTCATACGGAGAAATGTTCTGAGTAAGGAGCACCTTGCTAAACGAGAACATAAACCTGGTGTTTCATATCAAGAACACACCTAAGTTTTACCCCATATACACATATGCATACATTTCACATATGCGATAAACCGGTGCGCGGTTCTGAGCAGCCAAAGACAAATAACATCTCACAAAAGGGCAAAACAGAGAATATTAGTGACACGTCTCCTAGTAGTGCGCTACGTGGATACTTTACATAATTATCCGGTGTATGTTTGCATATATTGAGTTATAAAATAAATATTCATACAGCTACATATAATTACACACTCTGGTCAGCGACTAATTGCTGTTGTGTAAAAATGTAAAGTTGGCGGGACTGTTTCTCGTTCAGCCACTGCTGCTAATCTTTTGTTTTAAAGAACAGTAGCTACGGTCTAGACAATAAGTTTCAACATAGAATACACTAGATGAAACATAAAACTAATTAAGCGAATTGAAAGTGTGAAAGTACACTGATGAGCACTGAGCAGTGACTCAGCACCTATGTACATACTGAACTAACAGAGAATGAGCGGTACCGGAGAACCAGTTGTGGGCAAGAATACAGCGAACAAAAAGACTCGCTCTCTCTTATTCGCTCTCACTCGCTCTCTTAAACTCTCAAACTCTATCTATAGCTCTCCCTCGAACTCTGTATTTAAATGAGAAGCAGTTGGGTGACAGACCATTCTGCTGTGATTATCCCTTTCTGGGACACAATGGGCTATTTTAAGCAAGTCGGCTAACAATCACAACTCACAAGAACAGTGCGGCAACTAAAGACACAACTAACATGGCGCCCCATTCCTCTCCATCGATCAGAGTCTCGCTAACACGCAGTTAGCTCTCATTCACAAGCAAGTTTCTCACACGAATCTCATTTTTACGCAAGATTTTCACACTAACCTCTAACATTATTCCGTGCAGGAGGGGAGGACTTTGACCAGCGGGTTATTCAACACTACATGAGACTTTATAAGAAAAAGAAAAACATTGATATTTCCGTAAACCAACGCGCTATACAGAAACTTAGACGAGAGGTATGTTCAAAAACGGGTTAATTAGAAATGAATTAAATTGTAAACACTAAGGGTCAGGTTTGTGAGGAGGTGCGGTATTAGATTAATAGAATAAAATTCCGTTAACAGTTATATATTAAGTAATTGAACGAGACACTAAACACCAATCGATTGTCTCTTTTCGCAATTAAATTAACGGTGTATTGAATCCATATGTACATTCACTGAGCACTGCAAAGCGTTTGATTAAACTTTAATAATCAAATTTGTATTAGGTAGAGAAAGCAAAGAGAGCCCTGTCGACCCAACATCAAACCCGCATTGAGATCGAATCACTGATCGACGGAGAGGACTTTGGTGAGACCCTGACTCGAGCTAGATTTGAGGAGCTTAACATCGACCTGTTCAAGTGAGTTGGGTGAAAATCACAAGGGGTTCCTAGATTCTAAAAATAGCAAAAAGATAATCTGAACATAAATCCAAAATTACATAACTCAACCTCATCGATTATGTTGAACAATGTACTAACTCCAACACTGCACAGGTCTACAATGGTGCCGGTGCAGAAGGTTCTAGATGACGCTGGAATGAAGGCAGATGAGATTGATGAGATTGTTTTGGTTGGAGGCAGTACCAGGATACCCAAGGTACATTTCATACTGATCATATTATGATACATTTACGATACATGATATTAATAATGTTAAATCTTACCAAACACTTGTATTGATAACGAGCCCTCTATACTTATAACCTAGGGGCTGCCCTTACAATGAAAATAATATTTATTGAAGTTTATGAAACAATAAGCCACATGTTGCATAATGATATGCATAGCCAAAAATTATTTTTGCCTTTAAATACAGACGACGAAAATTTGAAATAATTACCCATTCCACTTACAGGTACAAGAGTTGGTGAGGGCTATGTTCAAGAACAAGGAGCCAGTTAAAGGTATAAACCCTGACGAGGCTGTTGCTTACGGAGCTGCCGTACAAGCAGGAATCTTGGGAGGCGAGTCACAGACTAAGGGAATCATCCTGTTGGACGTATGTCCTCTGTCATTAGGCTTCATTATAGAGGGAGGTCTGATGGAAAAGATGATACCAAGAAACTCGGTTATTCCAACTAAGAAAGTCAAGGTGTTCACAACTGTTTACGATAACCAGGATACGGTTGAGATTGAGGTTGGTATTTAACGGAGATAAAGAAGGGGTTTATTAGTTTAGGGCAGATTGGACAGACTTCAATGACAAATTGCAAAGTCTTTTACTGTAAAACACGATTTTCCCTGCCAAGCGGTTTTTGAAATTACTGGTAATTTCTTGAACTGGTTTCTAATTCAAAAGTTGGATACAGCGAACCTTTTAAAAAAGATTAATCTTACCACATGTATATTTGAATATCATGTAACCAACAGGTTATGGAAGGTGAACGTGCAATGGGAGCAGACAACCACAAGCTCGGCAAATTCGACGTGACAGGTACAGTGTACACACCTACCAGTTAACACACTGAAAGGAAAAAATCTCTTAGTTTGACATAATTTGTCATTTGTCAATAGGAACAATTATACCACATTTAGAGTAATGTGTTGAATGTAAACGACAACGACCCTTAAAATCCTCAACACCTCGACTCAAAAACACGTACTACACATGAATAATTTCAGGAATCAGCCCAGCAAGAGCAGGTCACCCTCAAATTGAGGTGACATTTGAAGTAGATAATAACGGTGTTCTGCATGTGAAGGCTAAAAATCTGGCAGGAGGCAAGACTGAGGGCATCACGATCAACAACGATCAGAACAGGTATGACATAGCCAAAGGGAGTTATATTACGTTTCACCGAGATTTCAGGGCATTTTAACTTCAAATATTGAAAGAAGAAATCTTAAACTGCAAGAACGCTGGCGTCGACTTAACTTCCCGTAAAATTCTGTGCCCACAGGTTGTCCCAAGATGCCATCCAGAAAATGGTTGAGGAGAGTGAGAAGTTCGCAGCTTTGGACAAGAAAGTTAAAGAACAGGCCGAGTCTAAATTGGAGCTTGAAAAACTTGCTTACTCATTAAAATCCGGTATAAAACTCATAATCTATCATTACTTTTGGTATATTACTGTATCGTGGAACCTATTAAACATTGCTGCTTTATATGCGGGATTCGCATTTTTTCCATTTAAAAGTACTGTCGTTTAAAACCAACTTTTGCCTCAGCATGGGTATATAGTTACAGCAAGGAAAAAAACAATTTCTGTATCCCCACATTAAAATTGATCCCAGAATTGTTTCAGATATGGCGGACAAAGAGGAAGGAAAACTTGGATCCAAGCTGACAGACGACGAAAAGGAAATCCTCAAATCCGCCATCGATAAGTCGATCAAGTTCGCGGATGATTCCCAATACTCTTCAGTGGCCGAGATCAAAGCTCAGATCACTCAACTAAACACAATCTCCAGACAACTTATAATGAAACATCAAAAGAAAGATGGGGAGAAGACCAAGACCAAAACTGGCAAAACAGAACTGTAGCGAGCTCTTTGTTTTTGTCACTGTCATGTCAAGTGTCAGGATAAGGGTCGTCAGATTTTAATGAAATATTTGTTTTTAATTGTTTTGATGGGTGGTTTATTTGATATTAATGTTATAGTTACTAATTTAAATTTGAACCTTCTTATCGATAACCAAAAGTGGAATTTTATTGGCAACTGATTACTCGATGAGTTACAAACTTGACCTCAACGAAAATTATCACAGACCAGAAATAACCGGAGAGTGCTTGGGCCTAAAAAAAGTTTGGTGTATAATCAAGTTTGCAACCCATAAATGTTTAAATAGATATATATTTTGAAGTCAAGGATAGCCCAAAATCCATAAAAAATGTCAAAATGAAATCATTTAAATAATAAATACATTGTTGCAGACTGCTGGAGACAGATAACCTGAGATAATCTTATTGTCAAAATTATGGAAGTGATCAAAATGGGATCAAAACACAGATTTTATAACGTCTTATTGAATATTGAAGCGGCAAAATAATTTAAACTCAACTTATTAATATTATTTAACAATGCACGGGGATTAAGATATTATGATGATTAAAAAACGATCTTGATCAAGATTGCTTAGTGGTTACCGTGCAAAATCAATCAAATTTTATGCGATCAAATACTTTCCATGTTGAAAAAGAAATAATAGTCATAGGTACTAAATTATTAAAACTATCCGTTCATAAAAACCCATCGCCTACTTAAATAGCTAAACACAAATTTGACATGAGATATTACAATATGAAACGCAGGTGTAGGCACACTTTATACAAAACAGCATTGTCGAGTGTCGGTCGTATATTATATGTTGAAAGTCTTGATTGGTAACGAGGGTAGATAAAAGATACCTATTGTGCGGAAGCTAGTCAGGATATGCGCGGCGGAGATCTTTACAAGGATCGGACTTGGTGGAGCAGTAACTGGTGGTCACCAGAGTGGAGTTTTATGGGGATTGCTTGCGGAGAACCATGGCAACCAGCGCAGCTCCAAGTGCGATGAACGCAACTGTGCTGAAGACTTTGGAGAAGGATGATGAATCTTCGATCTCCTCAACTTGATGGGCCTGAAGAAATATTTTGGGTAAGACATGGAAAATAAATTGGGAGATGTAATTAAACTTGAAATTTTGAAATAGTTTAATTTTCACATCACAGAGGGGATTTAGGATAAAAAATAATTTGTTCATGATTTTTTCGACCGATTCAAGAGAAGTCAATGAAAAGATCAGTTTAACATTTCTTTAGAAACAAATCAAAATTTTTGATATGATTATTATGACAAATAATTCAGCCAACAAGTCCGACAATCTAAACAACTAAACAACAAAGAACGCTACACTTCTGCGGCTAAAAATTCATTGATCACTACCAGGACCTCATTAATCACAAACAAACATTAAAAGCGCTAAATTTTCAAAACACTGCTTTTCTCAGAAAAGTCCGTCATCTCTGATGACTCATTTAAATAAATAATTGTGATAATGATATATCAATTGTTAAATGAAAATCCTTTCGGAATAAAATATCCAAACTCAGGACTCCACTGTTGTACAAAAATCACGAGCAAGTTTAATTTTCTGAATGATGAAGGGTCATGGACTTCCTCAAAAACTGCTACCAATAAAAAAAGTCATGCAATTACTGATACCAAAGGAATAAAAAGTTTGAAAATCTGATCAGAAAATATCACAGTCAGTTTCAAAAGGTAGGAGTAATAAGCTGTTCGCGATCCTCCGCGGTTGACCGCCTCTTGATAACCCAAATAATCGCAACAACAATCACCACCGCCACAGCCACCCCCAAAACAATCCACAAGGGTAATAGTCCACCCTTCTTCTGACACGCCGCAACACCAGACGCTGCGTCCTCTTTACAGGAAAAGTGGCCCGTACAGGAAACCCCTTCTCCAGTAGTGCTGTTGTCGTTGATACAGAGAGGGAACCCATCGGCGTTGACAGTACAGTAGCCGGTGTCTTGAGAGCATCCTACGAAGGTCTCGGCGTTGTCAAATACTCCCTGGCACTTGGAATTGTAGCAATCGTATGGCTTAGGGTACACACAAGAAGCAGTGAAGGGATTGCCTACAGTTGGGGAGCAATAGAAGCTGAGAGTTTCATTACATTGTACTCCTGATCCTCTTGAACCCTCAACACACAAAGGAGATCCATCATCAGCAACACTGCATCGGTGTTCAGCTCCATCGCAGTTCACCCAAGAGGCATTGTTGAGCCCAGTGCCCTGACAAAACTGACTGTAACAGCTCTGAGGTGGAGTAAAGACACATTGAGCTCCACCGACCTCACTTGTACCACAATAGAAGTCAAGGTCAGAGGTGTGTGCACAGTCGATCCCTGCTCCTCGAGTGGTATCAATACACACTGGTGCTCCAGTGGCGTTGAAGCCACATCTGTTGGAACTTTGATCACAGTCCATGACAGTTGTGTTAAAGGCGTCCTTTCCAGTGCAGGTGCTCTCGTAGCAGTCGTGTTTAGGAGGAACAACACACACTCCAGCTCCTTTGTCATCAACGTTGCAGTAAAATTCGTCATCTTTAGAGCAGTCGACCCCTTCTCCTCGAGTAGTATCGATACACACTGGTGCTCCAGTGGCGTTGAAGCCACATCTGTTGGAACTTTGATCACAAACAATTGATGTTTCGTTGAAGGCTTCGATTCCTGTGCAGGTAGTGTCATAGCAGTCGTGTTTGGGAGGATAAACGCACACAGCAGCTCCATTTGTAAGGTCATTCTGACAGTAAAATTCATCGTTATCCGCCGTGACAGTGCAGTTGACTCCAGCTCCACGAGACATAGGAGAACAAATAGGGGCACCAGTTTCATCGACCTGGCACAGATTCGCAGACTGATCACAGTCAATAAAGTTCTCGCTTTGATCCCCAGTTCCTCCACATTTTGTATTGTAGCAATTACTTAGAGGAGTGACCACGCAAACTGCAGCTCCACTGTCTCCGTTATTGCAATAAAAGTCCTCGTGCTCCGTGCCTGAACAATCCACCCCGGCCCCACGAGTAGTGTTTACACAGGACGGCTCCCCTTCCGTACTGAGGACACAGCGGTGATCCTTTTGGTCGCAATCTATGGTGGTTTCGTTGAAGGTACCAGTTCCTACACATTGTAGATCGTAGCAACTATGGACTGGGGGAACAACACATACTCCAGCTCCTTTGTCATCAACGTTGCAGTAAAATTCGTCATCTTTAGAGCAGTCGACCCCTTCTCCTCGAGTAGTATCGATACACACTGGTGCTCCAGTGGCGTTGAAGCCACATCTGTTGGAACTTTGATCACAAGCAATTGCTGTTTCGTTGAAGGCTTCGATTCCTGTGCAGGAAGTGTCATAGCAGTCGTGTTTGGGAGGATAAACGCACACAGCAGCTCCATTTGTAAGGTCATTCTGACAGTAAAATTCATCATTTTCCTCAGTGACAGTGCAGTTGACTCCAGCTCCACGAGACAGAGGAGAACAAATAGGGGCACCAGTTTCATCGACCTGGCACAGATTCGCAGACTGATCACAGTCAATAAAGTTCTCGCTTTGATCCCCAGTTCCTCCACATTTTGTATTGTAGCAATTACTTAGAGGAGTGACCACGCAAACTGCAGCTCCACTGTCTCCGTTATTGCAATAAAAGTCCTCGTGCTCCGTGCCTGAACAATCCACCCCGGCCCCACGAGTAGTATCAATGCATAGCGGTGCTCCTGTAGCATTAAATCCACATCTGTTGGTACTTTGGTCACAATCGATGACAGTTTCGTTGAAGGCTTCGATTCCTGTGCAGGTAGTGTCATAGCAGTCGTGTTTGGGAGGATAAACGCACACAGCAGCTCCATTTGTAAGGTCATTCTGACAGTAAAATTCATCGTTATCCGCGGTGACAGTGCAGTTGACTCCAATGCCAATATTTCCAGGATTGCAGACTGGTAATCCGTCGTCATCATTTGAACAGGTGTTGGTACTCTGATCACAATCGATAAATGTAGTGCTGGCTCCATCAACCCCCTGACACTTGTTATTATAGCAACTAGAGGTAGTGTACACACAGAGAGCTTCTCCGGCCTCACTAGCTGAGCAGTAGAAGTTCGGCACCACACACTCCACCCCTGCTCCTCCACCAGGAGACGTGTCACACTTGGGTTTTCCATCATCTTGGATCGTGCAATTCCTTGTGGATTGGTCACAAGGAATTGTCATTTCTGTTCCTACACAAAGGGTGTTGAAACAGTCATGAGCAGCGAAGGAGAACGGCAGAAGGGCGAGGAACAGGATCATATGCATGCTACAGGCAGACATGTCCTAAGAAAATTAGTTTGGTTAGGCCAATCGGATCAGCTGCAAGTTTTAGGTGGGCGACATATTCGAAAATTTCACATTGCATCGATATTTGCGGACAATTCTATTTTTCGCGTGTTTTGAGATTAAAAGTATTTGGCCACATAAATCTTATGATCGGTACAATTGCTGATATTATGACGATGAGAACTTTGTGACCTTAATGGCATCCAAGACCTACTACTGTAAATCATTAAAAACATGTTCACTCGTGTGTTACTGTTACCGACTCATGGACACTTCGGCTTGGGCTCTATTGAAAGTTAATTGAATTGTGGTTAGAGGAGGCATCTATATATGAATATAAAACGGTAGGTTCGCTTTTTAGGCAGTCTTCAGTTTCCCGATTAATCCATTCTCTGAGTCTGAAAGAACAAAAATTTAGTTTTATTGTAAGTGAAACTTTTACAGAGGTTATGGCGGGTTCGTGTGTAGCATGTACACGTGACTAGTATTCAAGCAATCACTATTGGATCTCCGGGCACTGTTGAATCAAAACTCTCAATATAAGTGCGATGTAAAAGTACACAGAACTAGCTAGGATATTTCGCATTCTAAACATCGATCAGACGGCAACCCAATCAGTTGTATAAGACTCTTTTTAGCCTTGACTTGATCAGACATGATTATCATGAACCCTCATTTCTTTAAGTTTTGCTTGTTCTTTTTGGGTGCTATACTATACAAAACGTTAAGCTTATTAATAGGTTTTGACTTTTAATAACGTAGATTGAGGAGAGTAACAAATTGTCATTTTTGAAAATAAGCATTTGACATAATATCAAAAAGCATGAAATAAACAACACAATAACCCTTGGTACCTTAGTTCCCAAAAATTTTGTGTGCCATTATATTGAGCACAATTTATTTGAGCCCGAAAAATTTGGGCAGAAAATTTGAACTCATTTGGGCGACCGAAAATTTGGGCACAAATTCTTCGAAAAATGAACGATCTTCCATTAAAATTTCAGTTAGATATTTGCCTTAGTTCATTATTATTCCTTATTATTCCAGTCATTTTGCTTTCAATTTTAAGCATGTAGGTGGTAGTCTGAGTTGTTTCACATTATGAAAACATAGTGTGTCAGCTCAATGGAGGAGTTTCATCAGACAATGTGAAAATTGATACCCGCTTGACAGTGATCCGTGAAGTACACGCTCGTTGGATCAACGAACTTTTTGTATATTTAAAAGGGAGGCCAGATGACATAAGGAAAGGCTTTGAGAAGTCGGGTATAATTGATGCTTGTAGATCAGAGTTTACGGTGGATGATAATCCATTTGCAGATCTTGTTTAAATCTCTAGCTATCCGTACCTCTAGCCATTTGTTTTATTAGTAGCTGTTAGCTATTCCAGTTATTTCTATTCATTTAAAATATAAGCCTTTTTACTTGGTCAAGCCATGAATGACAGATTAAAAAACTAAAATTTCAAATATTATTTCACTTGGATATGAAGAAAAAGCCATCTTTCTATAGATTTCAGGGCCACATGCCAAATGCCAAAAGTTTGGTTAGCAAAAAATTTAGCAGACGGAAAAGATTTATGCAATTAATTTGGTCTGCAAAAAATTTGGGCGAGAGGCACGCTCAAATTTTTTGTCGCCCAAATTTTTGGGAATTAAGGTATATCTTTTTTGAAATATTTCTTTAACGAAATAAATTTTCAATGTCTGAACTGCTTGAGAAATTAAAATTATAATGTTTGACTATG